AATGATTTTGGGAGTTATCATAACTAAAACCTCAATATATGAAATAAAAAGTAATACATTTTACTTTTATTTAATGTTTAAAATGCAAATCCAATTAGATTTACTTTATATGGTAAACAAAGCAAGTATAATAATATAATATATCCACTAAAACACAGAAAATATGACTTTACAAACTATATTGTACATAAATCATATAAATATTTTCACATTAGTCAATATTATTACTAAAATTACTTTAAAAACTGAATAACTATAAATGTACAATCATTTACATAAGTAAATAAACAGAATCAATGATGGGCTAAAAATCTGTAGAATTCCGCACGCACAGATTCTGTGTGGGCCTAGTTATACTGCATTAGTTAATACTAGGGATGCTCAGATTGATCGGCATCGGCCAATAATCACATTTCATGACTCGACTGGTACTCACCGATCTTCTGAACGGATAATAAATGTTTGTTTATGAGTATACAAAGAGCAAGTTAGACATGCGCTCATCATATAAAGAAGGTAAATCATGTGTGTGGGTGTGAGTGACCTCTGTGCTTCCAACACAGCAGCTGTACGGAGCTGCGATCATTCTGCTGCCATCAATAGTTGGAGATGAGCAAAATATGAAAATATATTAAATGGCCTTGCAAATACACTTGTATTTAGGCCTTTTTACAAACAAGAACTGAAAATTCAGTGTTTTTGACTATTGCATGTTCACTAAAACATGTCTCTAAATATTAGGGAAATTTAAAAAAAATTCAAACTTATTATTTTTTACTTAAATATATTTAATATTATAACTTGTTGTAATACTTGTTGCAATAAACATTAGTTTACAGGCCTGTTTTCTTTTAGGAAAAAATAAGTAATGGATTTATAGGTGTGCATTTTAACTTATGTATCAAATAAGTGCTCTAAACTTTTTCTTTATTGATACAATTTCAATTCTTCTTCCATCATTTGCAATGTTTCCAAAAAATGTATTATCTGCTTTATCTATAATATTCTGTAAAGGTGCTTCAGCCATTACACTAAATAGATATAAGTGACATGTTTAAGGGATATGTTCAACAACCTTAATAAAGGAGAAATCTTTACTTTACCATACTTGAAGGGAAAAAGTGCTTTATGCAATGCTAAAGTTATATAAAGCTTGAAGCATCAGAATCAGTACTTTGTATTGGCCGATCACCATGAAGAGGAATCGGCTGAAAAGATCCTGATCAGAGCATCCCTAGTTAATACGATTCAAAGTGATGTATTCTATTCATTTTTATAACCATGAAATAAATTAGGAAATTACCCGTGGCAAATTTAATGTAAAATCGTTTGGTATATTTATCTTCGACCCATGGCTAAAATTGATTTTTGGCCCTTTATATAAAAAAAGTTTAGGCACCCCTGTAATAGATTATGGTTTAAAAATGCGCAAAAATATGAAGCACCACAATTGTTTTAAATTTTTTAATAATGAGAAATGTTTGAGCTTTCAGTTAGCAAACTAGAATGATTTCTGGAGGATCACGTGACACAAAAGACCGCAGTAATGATGCTGAAAATTCAGCTTCTTATAATCTATACATACAGAAAACCGTTATACTGAACTTTTGTTCCATCACAAAATTACTTTTAAATTTTGATCCAATAAGTGCAGCCTTTGTCAGCAGAGAGTTTTCATTTAAAAAATAAATACAAATAAAAAAATTTTAAAATACAAACAGACAGAATGATAAATGGATGGTAATTTCTATTCCTTCTCAAAAATAAGGCATCAGAAAATTTAATGATATAATTAACAGTCAAATTCATATAAACATTTATAGACAGACTCATTCATTCATTCATTCATTATCTTTTTGGCTTAGTTCCTTTATTATTCAGGTGTCGCCACATCGTAATGAACTTATTTAGCATATGTTTTACGCAGTGGATGGCCTTCCAGTCGCAACCCAGTACTGGGATAAACCAATACACTCTTGCATTCACACGTATACAATATGGCCAATTTAGTTTATTCAATTCCCCTATAGTGCATGTCTTTGGACTTGTGGCGGAAACTGAAGCACCTGGAGGCAACCCACATGAACACAGGGAGAACATGCAAACTCCACACAGAAATGCCAACTGATTCAGTCAGACTTGAACTAGAGACATTCTTGCAGTGAGGCAATCGTGCTACTCAGTGTGCTACCGTTACAAACTTTAAGCAGACTACTGAAATTATATTTATAATATTTCATGAAGTCAACCAACGCAGCAAATTATCCTCGGGCTCTTAGTAGCTACAGTGAAAATGCATGCACCTAAAGTTTAAAAGCCATATTTGTTTACACAAAGCCTCCACATGCAACACGCACGACTACCCATCTAATAAACCATTTCTGAGTCCAATCTTCTCCTCTGTACTGCCTTCATGCTCTACCTATGAGGCCTTTTCCCCTTCACTCAAACAATGGCTGCTTTATACTCGGGGCCCGAAGTGCCACCGTGGGAATGTGCTGAAGGGGGGGACATGTTTTTATTCTGCTATTGGCACCCCGACCAGACGCAAAGGTTAAAACTGCTACACACAAATAGTCAAGCCAGTTGGTGTTGACAAGCTGTCCATTTAAGAACATCATGGAGTTAATTTGCACATTTCAACAGCCAAATGGTCCAAAAAACATTTCGCAGCTACTTCAATGCTCCTATGCAAATGTCCCAGTGCGGTGCAATTAGCACACCCGTGTCAGATCTGAAACATCCTGATCTAATAAATCGTTTAGTACGACTCGTTTCAGAGAATCGACTCTTTCAGACAACGGTGAGAAAATGACTCGGTGATTGAGGTAGGGCACAACTGCGTCATCACGTGGTGCATTTATAATAAAAATATACTCATGGTTTGTTTTTGCATGGTTTAGTATAATTTTAAACTTTGAAATGTTACTTTAATTTGTTTTATTTGCGTTTTTGACAAACCTGCCGTACCATCAAGTTACAAACGTTCATATACTCCTGTATCTTTTATTCAGCTACTTAATATTCTAACTGTGCATTGGTTTATATACGCCTTAATTCAATTCAACGAGTCGTTTGGCAACGAATCACCCTGACAGGATTTGTGAGCAGTTTCCTTTAAAGATCCGGTTCATAAGAATGACTCGTCATTAAAGATTTGTTTGAAAAGACGGCAGTGTCGTAAAGATGTTACGCGTCCCCCTCTGAATATCACCTTGATATTGTGTAATTATGCCAACAGTGCAAACATCCTCTAGGAAACGTATTCATAACGACAGCAACACAAGATGCTCTTGCTGTATCAGAGATGCGCCCCTCCTGAATCATATTACATCACATCAGCAGTCAAACTGGCGTCCTTCCTAGAGGACAGACAACAGCAGTGCATGTGCTCATTTACCTCCAATGCGCACAACTGTCAAAAACAAATGCCAAACAGTGAAACACGCTAAAAAGCCAACATGTACATCCGCGCGAACTAGAGGAAATGCTGTTTTGATACCAAAGCCATGCTGCAAACAGACTCATTTGCACATTTTTTCTGCAATGCGATCCTTCCGTTATTTAAATGAGTGCTCAATCATTGTAATAAGCGTTCGGAAAGTATCTGTAAGGCGTGTGATGTGTTTGGGTCTGTGGTCGAAGAGCCCTACCTCGTTCCGGCTTCACCTGGGATGATGATGATGGAGCGTGCAGACTTTTGCTGCATTGACTCAAAGCTCCCAGAGCGAGACCACGTGACCCAACTCTGCACCGCTACTATCTCAGTCATTTAAGTCCACATTGCGCTTTTAAAGTCAGATGCTATAACACGTCATAATAAAGATTCAGGCTAAATCTTTTTAAAAATTGCAATAGTTGGTATATGTTTACATGGAATGTGAAAGATGTTTTTTTTTTTACAATCAGTGAAAGTGCTTTCCAGGACTACTATAGATATTCGTCAAATGTAGCCTATTGTCATAATTTAGGATACTCTAAAACAGATATTAGACAAACTACCTTACACCCTCCTACTACAATATGTTTGTTACTGCAAAATGTGTAGGAAATAGGCTAACACTGTTAAGTAAAGATAACATGGGTCAAACTTGAAAAATAAAGAATATTGTTAATGATCAAAATAAAATTAGGCTTACACTTAAATACACCTAAAATAAGTGTAAAACACCAAATTTAAGACAAGAATACTGTCATTTAGTAAGTTTTTGTTTTGTTTTTTGCACGTTTTGTGTTAGATACAGTTACTTTTGAAAGTATTTTTTAAGTAACTAAATCTCTTAGTTAGCCTACTTTTTAAGAAAATTAACGTAAATGTGTTCTGATTTGCGTTTTTTGGATTAAAATAGTTTTATTAGGTATATTACTTTTAAAAGTAACTTTACCAAACAATGTTAAAGTTAATCCCAAAACACAATCCCAGTGTTTAATTTTCATAAATAGTGTGTATTTGATGTCAAAGAGTCCATACTAAAATCAGTCCTGCATAACCCTGATTTGTAATCAGAACAAATGTAAACATCTGTTTTCCTGAACATTTGCCAAGGGGAACCATTTACCAAGAGGAAAAAAACACTAAAACCGAATTATAATAGGCTATATTATAAATTATTACTGGTGTAAGAGTAAAAATACTTGTGGTATTTTATGATGTTTTATTGGGTAAAGGTAGTTGTCGTATTCAGTATTTTAGCGAAGAATAGTAAACAGGTAGCTTAACAGTTAGCCTATGTTTTTTACTATTGCATTTTGACGTACATTTCCCGTAAAATTAACATGAACAGTCTGCACACATTTAATTCACAATAAAGCAAACCAGTCGTAAATAGCCTAGCTAATAAAAGTATGATTAAAAAGCTGTGTGGATCTGTATCTGTGAGGCTTGTTAATAATTACACTAACAGTAATGATAGCATGTGGGCTCTGACACTGTGGGCGTTCATAACGGATTCTAACCTACAATTAACTTTTTAAAGTGGCTTTAGTGGGATTTTTCTTACCTGTTATGAGGTCGTCAATCTCCAACTCTTTCTCAGTCATCATTTAAATCTTCAGGTTTTCTTATTCCTGTAAACATCCAACTTACTAACTTTTTGCGCGGGTCATCAGACTATTCAGAGAGCTCCTGTTACTTCTCAAGAGTGCTTCTTACGTCCCGTTTCTCGGTTTCTTCACTACGTTCTTATTATCGCCAAACTTCCAAACTCCAGCCCAAAATTCTTGAAGAATATAACGTTTTAGAGCACATTTAAAGAGTATCCCGTCTCGAATTTGACCTACAGTTAAGTTTTTTCGTCTAGAGAAGAGAAGTGTAAAGATCCTGACTTCACGTCTGTAGGATCGGCATCCCGCCCCGCCCTTCAGCGCCACTCCATGTGGCAGACTAATAAATACAGTAACAGAGTAAACACGGGCCTCGAGGAATAAAGTGACACGCAATTCATTCTACTGTTTTCACTATCTGTCTGTCTGTACATTCCATCCTTTTGTCTGTCTATCCATCCATCATTTAATCTATCTATCTATCTATCTATCTATCTATCTATCTATCTATCTATCTATCTATCTATCTATCTATCTATCTATCTATCTATCTATCTATCTATGTCTGTCTGTCTGTCTGTGTCTGTCTATATCTATCCTTCTATCCATTCTACTATTCATCCATCTTTTTGTCTGTCTGTCTGTCTATCTGTCTGTCTATCTATCTGTCTGTCTGTCTGTCTATCTATCTATCTATCTATCTATCTATCTATCTATCTATCTATCTATCTATCTATCTATCTATCTATCTATCTATCTATCTATCTATCTATTCATCCATTCATCCATCATATTCTGTGCATATGATGAAACAATATTGCATCCCACCATTGACACTATGCATGTGTTAAATTGTGTAAGTTTAGAATGCAGTCGTTTTTGATTAAATCTTTTTTTTCTTTTTTCTTTTTGCACTGCAGTGTTACTGCATACCTTCCCAGTAAATTGCACATTAAAGGCTATTTTAAAAAGCTGTGTTAATGGCCAACTCTCAGGAGGAGGTCCCTCAAAGGGCTGAACACAGTGGCACATGAGTGTCAAATCAGTCAGGGTTGAAGACAGACAGCGGGACATGATATCATCCCCCACAGAACAGATGGGTCTCTCCTCTGGACTTCTCAGGACTATTTTTTAAATAATATTAAAATAGAAACATACATTTATAAAGTAGGTAATTTGTAAACTGAACATCAGACTTCTAAATATCATTTGGTTTTTAGAGAAGGAGAGCAGTGGCAAGTGTCGGTCATCTCCCCTGGCATTGCTGGGTTATAGAAAGGCTCAATGCCCCATCTAGTGGTCAATTGGAATTTGACCCGCAAGACCCTTAGCCTGACATTCAAAGCCTGAAAAGACTATGCATTTAGATTCCCAATCAACCATCTACAAATGTACAAAGCTCATTTAAAAATGAATTAGTAAAAAGATTAGATAGTACAAAATCTATTTTGTCATAACTAACAGGCTTTTTTTGTTAGCTGGTCTTCCTGACCTACACAAAATACATGAACGATTCCAAGATTTCATTCCAAGAAGCTTGTTTTAAAGATCCTGCCCACAAAAGTTGGAATGATGTAGCATCAAAATAAAGTGAAATTAGATGATAAATTAAAAGACAAATTAGGCTACTTCCAAATATTAGCTGCAATCATTTAAAAGGTCAATGCGAGTAATGCAGAACTAAATAAAAAATGTGACTAAAAAACATTAACAGTAGCTGTATCCACCCACAGATCGTCACTTCCTGATAAACTGGGATTAAATGTGGCTTCTGGAGGCGCAAGACTGCTCTATGGCAGGGGTTCCCAAGCTTTTCAGCTCGTGACCCTCAAAATAACAATTACAGTGACTTGCAACCCCCACTATCCAAAGTTTGACATTGTGCCGTAAAATCAATCTGCTGCAACACTATTGCTGTGTCATTAAACAGCCATGTCACCCTGCAGCCCAAGACCGGTTAATCACTGAAGCTAAGCAGGGTTGAGACTGGTCAGCACTTGGATGGGAGACCACATCGAAAAACTAGGTTGCTGTTGTAAATGGTGTTAGTGAAGCCAGCAGAGGGCGCTCAACCTGTGGTCTATGTCAGTCCTAATACCCCAGTAAAAGTGAAGGGCACACTATACTGTCAGTGGGTGCCGTCGTATGGATGAAACAATAAACGAGGTCCTGACTCTCTATGATCTCTGTACTTCTCGTAAGAGTTGGGGTAGAACCCTGGTGTCCTGGCTAAATTCTCTCTTGGCCCTTAACCATCATGGCCTCCAAATCATTACCATCTACTGAATTGGCTCTATCACTGTCTCTCCACTCCACCAGTAGCTGGTGTGTGGTGAGCGCACTGGCACCGTTGTCCTGTGGCTGCCGTTGCATCATGCAAGTGGATGCTGCATACTGGTAGTGGTGTGGAGAGACCCCCTCATGATTGTTGAGCACTTGCATAGCCATACAAGATAAATGCGCTATATATAAATACATATTACATTACATTAATCTAGTGTAATCTCGCCAGAGGTCTCAATCCAATGGGAAAATAATTGAAAGGCTATTGGCTTTTTATTTGCATGTTGTTATTTTATGTAATTATTAAAATCTAAGTTTATTAACATACAGTAAATTATTTTTTTTAAATCACCAAGCGATCCCTCCTCATTGTCTCGCGATCGCCATTTTGGGAACCACTGCTCTCTGGGAGCACAGACTGTTCTGGAGGTAATAATACTGAACCACAACACTTTAGAATGACCAAAACAAAATTAAAATGTTTAACAATGTGGTCGGTCAGCTGGTTTGTCCTGTAATGCTGTCCCATTACACCCATGTTATCATCACATAATCTCTTATGACAATATATCATGACTTAAATGTGCATTTAGTAAATGTTTTTTGTCCTAGTTTATGCAAATTTATTTCCTATCTGATAAAAAGTTTGTACTCAGTAGTGTGCATATATGTTTTTATGCACATTCATCAAGCATTTTTTTGTGTAATCCAAAATGCATTTAAAAATGTGGATATAAACATAGCTAGTGTAAATAGAGCAGTGTACCTTTTAAAGAAACAAGATGCAACATTGTGGCCAACTTCCTACTGGTCCTTCACATGCTGCCAGAATAATACTGATCCACCAAACGTAGACTTTACACGACCACTGAAGATGTGATCTGTGATGTCTGGCATCAATATGTTATTATAGCAGATCCATCAAGATCGGGACATCTCACAGATTCATATTTAGGAAGTTTGAAGGCTAAGACAACTGTAGAAGGCTGCATTACCCTGCTGAAAGAGGCCATTCTCACTAAGGGAAGGTTTTCACTATGCTTTGCTGGGCAGTATATGTTAAACTTACATCAACATGACTTGTCAGTTATCAGTGGAACATTGCAGAGGAAATCACACTCTGTCACTTACTTAGGAAAATAGTACACAATACATACACAGCTGTTTAAGGTCTGTTTGCAATGCTTACATGCCCATAGTCGACAACAAAGAAGTCATTATAAGCTCTGATTTGTCTATGGCAGGAATAACCACTTCTATACCAGCTTTTTGCATTCTAGTGATCTTGAAGGCATGTTGTGCTTTCCAAATGGGATATGTTGCCCTCTGAAGGGCACTATGGGATGAAACAATCATGGCCATCAAATTGAAGTGTTGCTCCAAACAGAAGTGCTTTGGAATGAAAGATTTTGAAGGGTACAACAAATGGACACTTTGGGCTCCCATGATCCCTTGCACAGGGAAGATTTTTGGTGTCACATACTGCATTCCATTCTGAGGAGCTCATCCCTATGCCATATTCTCCTGGTAGCTGTCACTCTGGAGGGTAAACCTTTCAAAAGGATTAGGTCATAGGGATGAGCTTTGTCCTCCAAATTAAACAAAATAACAGATTTGCTTGTTCAGATGGCTTAGGCTCAAAGCAAAACTTGCAATGTGCCACCAGAACCAAAGTTGCTTATTCTTGGACTATGGCTATGTGGCTACTACACAGCACATCCGGAAAAAATTCATAGCGCTTCACCTTTTCCACATTTTTTATGTTACACCCGTATTCCAAAATGAATTAAATTAATTTATTTCCTCAAAATTCTACACACAATAGCCCATAATGACAATGTGAATTTTTTTTTTTAAATTGTTGCAAATGCATTTAAATTAAAAACCTGAAAAATCACATGTACATAAGTATTCGCAGCCTTTGGTCAATACTGTGTTGATGCACCTTTGGTAGCAATTACAGCCTCAAGTCTTTTTGAATATGATGCCACAAGCTTGGCACACCTGTCTTTGGGAATGTTTACCCATTCCTCTTTGCAGTACCTCTCAAGCTCTATCAGGTTGGATGGGAAGCGACGGTGTACATCCATTTTCAGATCTCTCCAGAGATGTTCAATAGGATTCAGGTCTGGACTCACTTCACTGGGTTGTTGTGAATCCACTCCATTGATATTTTGGTGATGTGCTTTTCGTCATTGTCCTGCTGGAAGATGAACTTCCAGTCTGAGGTCAAGAGCTCTGAAGCTGGTTTTCATTCAGGATGTCTCTGTACATTGCTGCATTCATCTTTCCCTCTTTTCTGACTAGTCTTCCAGTTCCTGCAGCTTAAAATCATCCCCACAGCATGATGCTGCCACCACCATGCTTAATTGTAGTGATGTCTGGTGATGAGCGGTACCTGGTTTTCTCCAAATGTAACTCCTGGCATTCACTTTAATGAGTTAAATTTTAGTATCATCAGATTAGAGAATTTAGTTTCTTATGGTCTGAAAGTCCTTCAGATGCCTTTTGGCAAATTCCAAGCAGGGAGTGGCTTCCGTCTGGAAACTCTACCATACAAGACTGATTGGTGAATTGCTGCACAGATGCTTGTCCTTCTGTAAGGTTCTCCTCTCTCCACAGAAGAACGCTGGAGCTCAGACAGAGTGACAACAGAGTTATTGATCACCTCCTGGACTAAGGCCCTTCTCCCCTGATCACTCAGCTTAGATGGTCGGCCAGCTCTAGGAAGAGTCCTGGTGGTTCCAAACATTTCCACTTCAATGATGGAGGCCACTGTGCTTATCGGAACTTTCAGGGCAGCAGAAAATTTTCTGGAACCTTTCCCAGCCTTATGCCTCGAGACAATTCTGTCTCGGAGGTCTACAGACAATTCCTTTGTCTTCATTCTTGGTTTGTGCTTTGACATGCACGGTCAACCCTGGGATCTTACTGGTGTATGCCTTTTCAAATCATGTCCAATCAACTGAATTTACCACAGGTGAGCTCCAATGAAGCTGCTGTAACATTTCAAGAATGATTAGCGGGAACAGAATGTACCTGAGCTCAATTTAGAGCTTCACGGCAAATAACATAAATACTTATGTACATGTGATTTTTTAGCTTTTTTATTTTTATTAATATTGCAACAATTTCAAAAATAAAATCTTTTGTTTTCACATT